TTCCCATGTGATTTCTGTGAAGAGAAGTGCAGCAGAATGGATAACCTGGGACCATGTTGTGGCAAATTGTTATACCTCTGGGATGGAAGCTGTGTACACTGTCTGACTCTGCCTGCTGCTGGTTATAGCAGGTTGTGATTAGAAACAAAGTATGTTTATAGGTATGATTAACCACAGCTCTACTCCTAAATGAAAGCAAGAGGGTACCGGATAGGTGCATGCATACGTGGGAGCTATGGTGTTCTTATGTTTGCTGCCTGTTAGCTTGTGACCCAGTTCTGGAACCACCTCAACTAGCTGCGGCTCTGGGAGTTCAAACTCTCATCAGATTTCCTGCCCCTATACAACCTGCACAGTGTTGGTAAATTGTCTTGTGCTCATCTGTTCTGTCTGGCAGGCTGTGTGTTGTGCTACTAGCCCCAGGTTCTTATCCCGGACTAGTAGAGCATACAGTGTCAGAGATGTCAAATAACCTCTTGATGTCTTTTTCAGGACAAGGTGATACAGTGAGGTGTTTTTACTGTGATGGGGGTGTGAGGAACTGGTCATTTGGAGATGATCCTTGGAGGGAACATGCCAAATGGTATCCAGGGTAAGTCAGTCTTGGTTAACCCATGTCCCTTGTAGCAAGACAAAAAGCCACACTGTATTTCCACACTAATGTTGTCTTTCATAAGGTAGAAGTATCCTCAGCTGAGAGACAAATGAGTCACGGGTGTACTCATAACACTGCCTGGAAGCAGTGCTTATTATTAGCTTCTAGGTTTTTTTTCTACCTAGCAGGTAATTTTTCTTCACTAGCAGGTGAAAAGCTAGTCAGGTATGTTCAATCATGTTTAACTGCATAAACTATTGCAATAGTCTTTAATCTTCTGGGAATCCATGAGATTTCAAGAGGTTCTGAATCCTCAAGGTCACAGCTGCACAGCAAGGGACCGTCTTTAGGTCCTACTAGTGGGTCAGGATAGGAAACTTGTTTCTAGGTCAGTCACTCAGTCTGCACTGTCTTCCAAAAGTGCCTCCCTCCTACTCTCTTCTCATATGTGGAAGAACCAAAGATTGACTTGAAAACCTAATCATCATGTCTTCAACTGCCTCTCCTCTCCTGTTTCTTCCTTCCCACCTTCCCCCAAAAATAGTTGGTGTCTGCTGTCTCTCTGTGTATGTTATCCCTTACAAAAGGTCGCTCACTCCAGGACAGTTGGCTTCAGTCCCTTTAGGCTTCTAGGCCACATCTATTCCAAAGGCTGATTTATCACTGTTGTGTTCTGTTAATGATGGAACTTACTGAATGATGGCTGTCTATAGCTAGTTTTTTAAAAAAAACTGTACAAACAGAAGTGACAAAGCCTCAATACTTAAACCCTCTTGCTTTAAAAGCAAAAATCAAATGGTCATATTCAGGTAGAATGACACAGTTCAGTTCTGCAAATTTTCTAATTTGACCTAGAGTTCACCATCTAAAAGGTCAATTAAAATCACTTTGACATCAAAGATCAGCTTTGGTTTTTACTGAGGTACAAAAAAAGATATTGTAAGCCTTGTTTTTTCTGTGAGCTGGTCTGTTATCACATTTTCTTTTGATCTGTTCCAAAGGATGTTGCAACTGAGCTTATCTTGGGCCAAACATGAAGACTGAATTAAGGGGGGGGACCATGAGCCTCTTAGTGTTGCCTTTCATGAAAGGCAGGGGGTGGGGAATGACCATGATACTCCCTCTTCAATGAATATAGCAGTTTGCTCATAACCTGATAGCACCTTTTGCTTCTGAAATGCAAACTACTGCTGCTACTTTCACTTGTTATCCTGAACTAATGTATTTAAATCTTTCTGTTTATAGGTGTGAATTTTTATTGCGGTCACGGGGCAGAGAATTTGTTAGCAGTGTTCAGGAGTCCTTTTCTACCACCCTGATATCTCCAGTGAGTCATGAATATTTTGTGTATGGTGGATGGGCGTTGGTAGATAAGGGGGGTGGGGGTTTGAACTCACGCTTTTCCTTTGTGACCTTTCCAGAGAGATTCCTGGGATCAGACGGAACAAGATTCCTCTGCTTCCCAAGGTCAGTGCTGTAATTACATGGTGGTTTGTGTATTCTCTTAAAAGTGGTGCACTCTTACTTTTTTTTTTATCCCACCCCAGCTACTGTGGACTCTGTAGACATGGTGTTTGAGAGATGCTTTGATATTCAAGAAGCTGTTCAACTTCACTTTTAGGAAATGGTCTCTAGGACAAGAAGCACAATTGCTTGCTCTTGAGACCTCTTAGCCTAAGACAACAGATGTTTAGCTGGTCTGGATAATAATGTGATTTTTTTGGGTGCTTGCCTAACTCTTCCTTTGACTTGTCTGTGCTCTTGATGTTGTCTGTCTGTAGAGCATTTCAGGCTACAGCCCTCTAAGCATACTTGATAGGAGACCATAGAACAGCTAGGGGGTCCAGCTGTTCGTGCAAGTGTAGATCCTGAGGATCTATTCCCATTCATCAGTTGCTCCTGGAAATTTACGTCAGTGAAATTTGGCTCCTATAACTGTGGAGAACTGATTTTTCTCATTCTCTTTAAGAGCCTATCCAATAGGATGAGCTTAAAGATTTAAGCCTTTGAAGGGGCTGCCAGCTGAATTACCCACTTCTGTCTTTAGTGATGAATGGTTGAGCTAGATTATGAAGTAGGAGAGACTTCAATTGGGATGTTCCACTTGATCTTCATGAAAGCAGTTTTGAGACTTCTCTTGTGGGATGTGAGAACAAAGATTAGGATGCTGGACTGCAGCCAAACATGGGAGACTTGGTTCACTGATACAGTAGAATAAATCATCCAAAACTAGTCTCTTGGATTTTATGAAACTGCTTTTGACTTTTTTGACTTACGATTGGAAGTAAAAAAAAAAAATGTAAATCTGGATGTTCTAGCTATATAGCTAGCTTGAGGAATGTTCTAGAATATATTAATGCTATTTTACATATGATAGCTTCAGGGAGTGGCATACTCTTGGCCCAAAGTTCTGCCTTTTTGGTAAAGTATCTGCTCACTGCTTTACAGATCCTCTGAGGAATTGGGAATTGCAGGCTCTTCCTTCTCTGGATCAGTTTACTGCAGTACAGAATGTCCTGCAGATGGGCTTTGACCCCACCTGGGTCGCTACCCTGGTGGAGAATAAATACTTGCTGACTGGGAATTTCTACTTTACTGAGTCGGAATTGATTTCTAGTCTGCTTGAGCCAGACTGGGAAGAGATCAGCAGTGCAGAGGGAAGCAGAAGTATGCCTGACTTGCAGAGCCATGTTCTTGGTGGATATTTAACTTCTAGTTCACCTCATCTTCAGCGTTGTTGTAAGTGTCTTGTGGGTCTGCTTTCTCTTTTCCTAGCTGGAATTAAGTGTAGTAATGTACCCAAGCCTGCCTGTCTTGGAGAGGCTGAAGAACAAGGTTCTATTTTAAAGACAGCTGAAGGAGCTGTGATTACTGGGGTATCACTAACTATGTCTGCCTCCAATAGCCTATGGTGTAGATATCCTTGATATTTCCTGCTGTCCTTAGACCTGAAGTAGCAAACAGCTGCATGATGTGGAGGCTCATGCACAAATTCACATCTGGTGCACACAGAGGCACTTGTCTGAAGTAAGGCTTCTGGGATGGATGAGTACTCCAAGCCTATTTAAAACTGAATCAATGGCTTGATCAGAAATATCTATGCTGCTTATTTGTTTGGATAATATATATTCTCCTTAACTTATCTATGTCTGTCTTATCTGTTTTGTGGAGTCTGTTTGCCAAGTGAAGTTTACTTGAAGATGCAGTTCCACACAGGCATTCTCAGTTGGCCAGCTAGTTCTCAAGCTCCTGTGTCTATCACAGACTGCCATCTCTTTTTAGTAAGGCAATAAAAAATTTCTACAGAACTGAAAGTGTGATTAAATAGTAGCACAGGAGCAGGAATGAGCAGCTGATTGCCCCTGCTGTCTGATAAATAAACCAGCTTTGAGGAGACTGATGTGGACATGTCTAGGTAGGGAGGTTAACATACATGGTGCCTGAAGCACAACAGCGAACATCAGCTTCACCAGGCTGTGTGAGGCTAACAGCAGAGTGCCGAGCTGTTTAACCTAGGGCTACGGAAATTCAGGATGTTTTATCTTTCTAAGCAGCACTGTCTGAAGAGGGAGGAAAAGGGTGTAGCATTTATTGTTGTCTTTCCTGGTTATACAGATCCTGGTCAGAGAGAGATGGAAACATCAAGTTCCAGAGAAGAGAGGCAACCTGTACAGCAAAAGGAATCAGGTGCACTGGGCTGACTGTGGTGGTGAATGATGTTGGGCATAACTGGGATTTTTATAGTAGTGGTATCAGTGGTTATTGTATTAATTTATTTTTTAAACCTTAAGGGGGATGTGTGTTGGGTTGAATGGCAACTGAACATAGAGATCCTTATTCAGGAATTGGAGTTCACTGTGAAGCAGACTTATACAGGAAAAAAAAATGGTGTATCAGGATAACTTACATTTAAAGAGATGTTGGTATCTCTCCCTGTTCAGTCCAGCATGTGTAGGTATGCTGCATCTTGTGTACATAAGATGGTATTTGTAATAGATGTAGCTTTTCAGTTGACATGAAATTTGCTTGAGAGGTGCTCTTGCCATATTCAGTCTCTCCATAAAATGATGAGCAAGTTAGCGTGACTCCCTGAGATGACAGGCCTTGCACGCTGGAGCTGTTACAATACTAACAGTTTGGGCTTTTTTTGTTTTCTTTTTTGGTAAAGATGGGTCTCGGATGAGCACAGAAGAACAGCTCCGACGCCTGCAAGAGGAAAGGATGTGCAAAGTGTGCATGGACAGGGATGTGTCTGTGGTGTTTGTTCCGTGTGGCCACCTGGTAGCTTGTGGAGAATGTGCCCTCAATTTGAGACTGTGTCCTATCTGCAGAGCAGTCATCCGGGGAAGTGTGAGAACTTTCATGTCCTGAACCATGATGTGCCTAAGGGAAAAGATAAATCTATACAACTCATTCACAGCACAGCAGAAGAAAACAAGTAAATAATTCAATTTATGCTGGAGCAATCCTAGTTGCAGGCTACCTTGGCATAAACTTACTAAATGTGCTTCCTAGGCACAGTGTTTCTAGTAAGAGCTGCTGGTTTGCTGTACTCTGGCTGATCTTGCTGTAGAACTGCTCCAGATGAACTCTGCTGCTTCCTTTTGTCCTCCAAACAGAGGCTTTTATTGACAGTCTCCTCTGAATTCTTGCATTCTCAAATGAATCACTGCTGTTGAAATCAAGGGCTGGTTTTGGTAGACTCTCTGGTTCTTTTGCTCTCACTTAGCAGTTGTTTAGTCTTCTAGGGTTGATGGCTTCCTTCATTAAGTCTGAGTCAAAATGAGAGTGTTTGTATAAAAAAAAATGCATGCCACTGAGACCACAGTACTCAGCAGCAGTGTATTGTGGGGGAGCATGTAGCTTTTCCTTCTGAGCTCTTTGACTCTTTTTTTACCCTCCACTTGTTGAATTTTCAAAAACTGATAGAATGTTTTGGTAATACTCAAATCTGCATAACGAAGTGAAAGGCCTGGGCTGTTGTAGACCTCCAACCTCTCTACTCTCAGCTGACCCCACCCCCCTAGACTGAAGGCAAAAGGTCCTTTAGTTAGGGGTGCTAGACAATCTTATGGAAGCATTTTACAGACCCTCCCTGGCTGTAGGGGACTATCCTATGAGAAGTTAACTCTGGAAATATAGCATTTTAGGACCTCTGTTTGCTGGCAAAACTGATATTTCTTATTTTAAATGGAACGTTCTATCATGCAGCCAAAAAGAGGAAGTTTTGTCAATATTATAGTTTGTTAACTGCAGGGGAAAGGAAATGTTTTTAAAAACTGTTATTTTTCACTGAATAAAAATATTCTCTTTTGTTTATCTTACAGAAGTCTGAGTATCTGATTCTAGTACAATGCCCTACTTGGGGAGGGGGTGTAATGGTGTCTTAAGATGAGAGTAGCATCAGGTTGTAGATCACTTAAGCTTCTGTCCTTCAGTACTACATGGGCATGAGAGAAGCAACTGTTCTTACCACCCATTAGCTTCCTTTTGGAATTCACAAGACAGCGTGTGGGTCCTCCAGACTCTTAACTGTAGAAGAAGGTGTAAGGATAAAGGAAGATAAAGAATACATGAAGCTGTGCAAGTGGGGAATATTTCTGCATCTGAACATGATGCAAAGTTTTGGTACATGGTTCTTAAATACATCTGTGAATACATCTGTGGAGACTGGAGCACTGGCTTCTGCCCCTTCTGTTTGGTTCCAGCTCTGGATAATGAACACAGCTATAGGCTTGTCTCTGAGTAACTTTAAGATGTCAGTTATGTCTGGGCCATGTTGGAGGGTAGGTCTCTATCTGTGCCTTCAGAAGAAGGAATATTAATGCAGCACTTGGCAAGGGTGAGAGAAATTACCAGCTGAGTAGTTTAAACTCTCCAACTCTTGGAGGAATAGGTGGGTGTTTGCCAGAGAGCAGCTTTCAGAGGGAACAGAATTGCACCACCATGGCAAATTAGGTGTTGTGTCTTGGTTCAAGCAGGCACTTGCTTTGTTTTGCCTCTGTAAATAACAGCAAATACAGTTTAAGTAGATGTGCTAATCTGAGAAAACAAAACCAACACTATTGGTATAGTGTTATTTCCTCATAAATTTGAGCTCTGTTTTGCCTGAGCATCAACAGGACTACAAGGCTGTGAACATACCTACTCTTTCTGGGAATTCTTTTATTTAACACTTGGAAAACTGTGGCTTTTCCACATCTGGAAGAGTGGAGCTGTTCTTTCTATAGGAAGCTGTCCCTTCAGAAACGGGTACCCGTTGTTTTTGACCCGTTTTGTTTTGTACCTCCGCTGATGGCTCTCCCCAATAGAGGGCACTCTTGACCTGGAGAAAAGGGAATCACTGGAGCAAAACCTTCAGCCACTCTGTCCTCCTGCAGCTCGTTGGAGACGTGAACGGCTGGGAGTCCCTACCCTAACACAACAGGGTCTTTGTGTGACCTTGCAGTACTCGGAGTAGGTCTAGTACAAGCAGACTAGGAGGAAGGGTTGGCAGAATATGAGGGATGAATGGCTCTGCTAATGAAAACTAGAGGAGGTAATTAAGTGTGGAATATGATCCTTGGTAGCTTGTCTTATTTTCTCTTTTCTCAGACTTATTTCTTTCTGATCTTATGACAGTCATTAGTAAATTTAATAGGCTTACCTGAACCTTTAAGTGTCTTTTAATAGAAGTAAAATTACCTATGTGTATCATAACGTAGGATGGCAGTTATGAAGCTACTCAGTCATCACACTTGTATTTATTTAATTGATCTTTACCAGTGTGTATTAAAGCCAGGAGACATGCTGTTAAGAGCACAGTTTGATGCTTAGACTCTAACTCTCTGTAGAGTACTTGGCAAATGGTTTTGTTCAGTTTTATTTAGTAAATGTGGCTTGGTCAGTTTAAGAGGTAGTGCTGAAAACATACAAACCTCAAAATAATTTGAAGAGTTCCTTCTGACTTCATATTGCTGTCTAGGATTCCTTCCTAAAATTACTAGTGAAATGTTTAGCTCCTGAAAGCTGAAGCTGAGCTTTCTCCACCATCTGGACAGAATTGGGGCTGCTCTCAAACAAGGCCAATACAGAATGCTGGTATCTGATGGGCAACGCTTCTCAGAGGAAAAGAAACTGTGTTAAACCAAGTGCAAAGTCTGTGTTCTCTCGTGAGCAAAGGGGAGATCAATTTCAAAAGCCCCAAACAAATGAAGTCTTCTATGGAACAATCTAGAGGATATGTCTTCCTTTTTCTGCCTGTCCAGGGAACGTCAGGTGGGCAGGTAGGAGTGAGTGTCACATGGAAACAAACCAAATCAAACAAGGTGGAGGAAGTGCTAAGACTGTATGCACACAGATATGCACGCTGTCCAGGTGGTGCAGTGGCTTGTGTTCAGCTATGTTGCTTTAACTTGGCAGCAGCACAGTATTGACTAATACGGCAGGTAGCGTGTTTTGTCAGGCAGAGCTGTTTTAAAGAGGGTTGAACTTCTTCATCCTCAAGTGATTAATCTCAAACCAGCAACTGTCAGCTGTCTGCTCTCTTCCCTCAGAAGCTGTGGCTTCTACTGGCTAAGAGGAGAAGAAATAACTATAGAAGACAACACTTACTCCTAGCTGCATGCGATCAGAACTTGGGATGTCGGGCAGCAGTGGGTTTCTGGAATGGAAGTTACACAGGAACAAAGTGTTTTCTTAGTGCTTGTACTTCTGGGTTTATAGAAGAGGGTTTTGCTTTCTGGGCCCTTTGGAATAGGACAAAGAAAGGTGCATCATTCTGTCGTTTTATTTAGCACTGAATGCTTTTTTATTCCTCTTAATTCTTCCCTTACACTTCCCCTCCCTAGCATGGCTTCTAGTGGGACTCTTCTGAAAACGATTGTTCAGAAATGCCAAGTAATCTCTGATCAGGCAAGACAAAGCATTACAGTAGTGCTTGGAATGTACCAGCCCAAGAACTCCACCATGGCTGACAAGTGTTCATCTCTGTGGCACTGTGCTATGTCTCCCAGCATGTTAACAAAACTGACATTGGTTTTTTGTTTGGTGTTTTTTTCTTTTTAATTGCGCAGCTCATTAATACAACTTAATTACACTTATATTCCCCCTTTCCTTCAGCCCATTCCTTCTTGTTAAAATTATCCTGTCACAAAAAAACCCTTCCATCAGGATGTTGCCAGGCTTGTGCCTGGAATAAGTGTGGCTGCTTATGAAGGCAGGTATGAAGCCATCTGTGATCCATGAAGAACTAGGCATTTTCCAGTGTCCTGCAGCAGGTTTCAGCTGTATATATGGCTATACCAGTGTTAATGTAGATGGGCAAATCCTCAGCTGCTCGGAGGATGGCTTGGCATGTTGAAATGGGGCTATGCTCTGTGCTGAATAAAGATTTGGTGCTTGGACTAGTTTTAAGCTGTTCAGCATTATAGGAGTTGGGTCATGTAACATTGGAATCCAGGACAAATGGCTACTGCTAAGGTGCTGACCGTGTCTAAAGAATACAGGATGAGGAAGGGGGGTCCTGGATGGGCAAGGTGGAAGAAGGGAAGAGCTCTCATCTATAACTTAAAAAAAAAAAAAGCCTAAATAACTCAAGTGTAAATAGCCCCCACCTAGTTCTATACAGGCAGGGAAAAGATGACGACGTGTTAGGGGATTTAGGCTCCCTTCAGAAGAAGGGAAAGGAGAAGAGGAAGGAACTAACTACAAAACATGAAATATCCCAGGGTGTTACACAGTGCTTCCTTCTTTATGGAACCATGGTGCAAGGAAGCAGCTCCGACTTCAGCTGTATCTTGAGAGAGGCTCTTGGTGAACTTGTTCTGCCCAAGGTCTTCAGGCCAGTGTTATTTATTGGCTAGTACCACCAGACTATGGTAGGAATGGTTCATCAGGGCACTTAGAGAATGGAAAACCAACTGCATGGCCATTCTTCAACGAACACTCGTTGCATTTGAAAAGACAAGGAACAAAAAAAATGGAATGGAGTTCACCATCCTGCATTTCCTCTGCCAAAGATCCAGGCCACAGGGGATTGTTTCCTGCAGCCCCTCTGATGGAGTGCAAGGTTTATCCATCCTCTGGCTCCTCTTTATTTATGCAGGCCTGTAGAGGGGGAAAAAAGCAAAGGCAAGACATCAGTGTGAAGCAAGTACTAAGTTGCTTACTTCGGAGAACAGAAATGGTGTGGAATTAATGAGGACAAAACTGTTTTTCTTGTTCTGTGTTTTTAAATATGATTGACTACAGATGAGGAATAGGACTGAGAGCTCAGGAGCGATGTGGTTAAGTAGTCTTCAAGTCTGGAAAGAATGTTATGCATAGACCAGACATGAATATACTGCAGTTAGACTAAGGAATAGATATAAGCCAAAGCGTTAGATCTATAT